AGCCGCTGCTGCTGCCCTCTGGGTGGGCCAGACTGACCCGGACGGACCCAACGCCGGATTCTCTCCAGCCCAGGGCCGGCCTGTGCCTGCCACCTGCCCAGGGTCCGGTGGGCCCTCCCGCCCGTGGGGTGGATCTGCGGGCACTAGCATCATTTCTGCCCTCTCTGCCAGGCTGTGCCGAGGCCTTTCCCGCAGGGCGCAGGTCTGCCAGACGGAGCTCCCTCCATGCCAGCTGGCCCATGGGCAGGAGCCAGCAGGTGGGGCTGAGGCACCGCCAGCCCCACGCCTCTTTCTCCCCAGGCAGGGCTTGGCCCTGGAGGAGGCCATGGGGGCGCCTCTGAGCACACGCAGAGCACCCTCCCTCCAGGGCAGTTCCAGCAGGATGTCTCTCTGGGGCCAGGGGGGGTAAGGGGGGGACGGCTTCATTGCCCCCGCTCCCCTTGGGGTCTTCTTCAAGCAGGGGCCCATTCTTCCTCACCCCACCACGCCCCACTAACCCTCCCCCCCAAAAAACCCACATTGGCACGGGTGCTCCCCCTCCCCCGCCGGCTGGGCCACCCCCTCTGGGCAGAGGCCTTGGCCTGGCACCCCTCCCTCCCTTCAAGGCAAGTCGGAGCCTGCTTCCCAGCCGCCCCGAAGTGTGCATCTCTGCTTAATTCCTGCTCTCCAGGGCAGCGGGGCACAGCTGGCTCAAGAACCAGTTCCAGGTTCCGGAAGACAAGGGCGGGCCATTCCCCACCGTGGAGCATTCTGGCCAACCAGGGATACTGCTGAGGGCCCCCCCCAGCCTCCCCCCACATGACAGCCTCTGCCTGTTTAGCTGTCATGGCCACTGAAGCCACGGAACAGAATTCGAGTCCAGTCGGGCACCTTGAAGACCAACCAAGTTTTATTCGAGGTATAAGCTTTGGTACGCGCACACGCTTTTTCAGATACAGTGAAATGCAAGTTGCCAGTCCCTACATACAGGTAGAGGGTGAGCAGCAAGTGATATTCTGTTTTATAATGTTGTTGTTCAGTCGCACAGTCGAGTCCGACTCTTCGTGACCCCATGGACCAGATCCCGCCAGGCCTTCCGGTCTTCCGCCGTCCTCTGAAGTTGGCTCAATTTCATGTTCGTTGCATCTATGACACTGTCCAACCATCTCATCCTTTGCCGTCCTCCAGAGTTTGCTTAATTTCATGTCCATTGCCTTGATGACACTGTCTGACCATCTCATCCTCTGCCGTCCCCTTCTTCTTCTTTGACCTTCCGTCTTTCCCAGCATCAGGGTCTTCTTCTCCAGCGAGTGCTCCCTTCTCATTGGGTGGCCAAAGTATTTGAGCTTCAGTTTCATTATCTGGCCTTCCGGGGAACAATCAGGGTTGATTTCTTTTAGGATTGACTGATCTGATCTTCTTGCAGTTTTATATTGTAATCTTATTCTAATGTTGTTATTAGTATAGATATAGATATATATATTGGAATTTTAATGTATATATTTATACATATGTTGTTAGCCGCCCTGAGCCCGCCACAGCGAGGAGGGAAGGAATTAGCATAAACACGATAAATGTTGTTTAACAGATGCAAGGACCAACCTGGAATAACAAACTTAGTTATAAGGTCACCATTGACAGAAACGGCTCTTTTTCAAGAACAGCTCTGAGAGAACTATGGCTTGCCCAAGGTCACCCAGCCAGTGCAAGTGGAGGAGTGGGGAATCAAACCCGGTTCG